TGTGGGCCAAAGTAATCCATTCTATCTTCTCAGCATAGAGTAGGATGTGAGGATGTTAAGCATACCTACATACATATGAGAGGACAATAAGAATGAGAGTCGCGATATGATGACCCATTGAAACTCCGAAATCAGAACGCCTTGTTTCCCAGAACATCAAAGCAAAGATGGAGTATGTATAGAACCCAGCCACAAACATATACAAAAGCTTCAACTTTAACCTGCACGAGAAAGATATATTTTATTGCACAAAGTCGACAAACGAACCTAGATAATTGTGATGTTAGAAGCAAGTCCTTGACAACATTCTTACTTCGTTTGTTGATCAGGCCAAGCCTGATCTCCAGGACCAACCCAAAAGTATTTAGTGTTCATAAACCAAGGTTCATTATAAGTCACAGATAGAGCAAGAATCTCAGCCGAGAGGTAGTAAACACACTTCCAGGCCGATTCTTTGAATTTTCTGATTTTCTTCTTTCTCTCGGTTGCATCATCTCCCATATTCTGCCTCTGTTTTCCATAGATCAAATGCTTTGCTAATTTCTACAAAACACCAATCATCAAGCTCAAGTTAATTAAAGAAGTGACCTGCCAAAAAAAAAAGGAACTTTCTCCATACCCTACTTGAAAGTAATGAAAGGCACACATGAATGATACAGAACAAAGTCAAGCTCTCACTACCATAGATGTGTTATTCAAAAGAATGCAACACAAAAGCAAATCACATCTACAATTCTACATTCATTCTTACATACACTAACATTTGTTACAAGTCATGCCTTTAATTAATAAGTGACACGAAAAAGACGTTTATTTATCAAAAAAAGAGATACTTTCAGCTACAATCATTCTTCTTAGTGCCTTAAGCAACAATTTTGCATCCACAAAAGATAATCTAAATATTTTGATCACAAAATCTTATAGCTTCGGATCTGCTAAAAAAAGACTAGTCATGATTCCAATTACCAGACCACAAAAAAAGTTTGGATCAAGCAATGCAAGAGTAAAAGAAGAGAATATTGACCTCGAAGACGAATCTATCGAGGAGAAATCGAATCGAAGGGAAGAACAGAGCAAAGAGAGGAAGAATACGAAAATCCTGGTAAACCGGAGGTGATTCGAGTTCCCAGTTGATCGATTTCACTGATTCGAACAAACCCATTTCCGATTTTCTCGAGAAAACACTTTAGAAAGTTCACATACAGGAAAACTTGTCGAGTCTTCTTCTTCTTCCTCCGGAGAAAAAGAGACCACCTTTTTGTAAATTTCCGGATTGGATCAGTAGAAGAAGTTTTAATGCAAGTTGAAGTAGTACTACTCCAACTCCCAAATCGAGTGATTCTTACCAATCATAACTCCCAAGATTTGGATCAAATTACATATTACAAAAATTTATATGCCAGTTAGGCAGTTACTTTTCAAAGCTGATGAGATCGCAAGGTCTCGAACCTTCTGACGCACTTACAGTCTCCTCTCCTCTCCTCTCGTATTGAATTTTATTAAACTTTTTACGAAAATAGTCTTCATAAATGGTTTTTTGACGATTTTAATATTTTTGTTTTATAATTATTTAAACACTCTTTAAAAAATTTTAAATCCAGTTTTGCCCTTATTTTATTTGATAACAAAAACGTATTTACGAAATTGCCATTAATGAGTTCCCCGTCAAAAGCAAATAAGTCTACCGCTCACGTGATGGTAGAYTTATTTAGTKGTTGGTAGATTTGTTTTTGAATGGTAGACTTAYTGTTGARTGGTAKATTTATTTCGGTAGACTTATTTTTATGCAGTGGTAGATTTATTTCTATGTGATGGTAGATTAATTACTCGTGGTAGATTTAATTGCCTTCATGGTAGATTTAATTCAGATATAAATAAGTCTATCATCACGACGATCAATAAGTCTATG